AGTGCGCCTCCAAACGAACCTGGCGCACGATGCGATCCGACCGGCGGTAGGCTCCCGCCTGCCGGGGAGCCTCCAATCGACGTCTGATGCTTATAGCACAGTTGAGCGCCTTATGACCTTTGTTTTTGGTGATCGTTGGTTTCCTCAATTATTGTTGATCTTCATTTCGATCATGTTTTTCTTGTTCTTTCTTTGTCGCCCCTCCCTTCATACGTTCTTTTTGATGGCTGCGCGAGAGTTTGTTAGGTTCATGCCAGGGATTGCAAGGGTTACGGAGGAACCATCATGCCTGCCAATCTGCCCATGGGCGCAGGATGGCGCAGGAAAACCTGCACCAGAAGTTGCCACGCAGGAAATCGTGGCAACGCATTCACAGGGTTGCTTGATGTTGCTTGTTTGTCTTTGGTTGGTCAATTGGACCGTTGGACCAGGCAGGTGTGATTTATCAAAAACAGAATGAGCGCAGGTTGCTACTGTACGTAGACTACCATAGACTACCCATAGACTGATAGATCGTTGAAGCACGAAGAACTCGCTTGATTCTGTCTGAGGACCGGCTGATGGCTGTAGGACCGTCCGTCCGGGACCGGCCATGGAAGCATCCTTGTTCCAAGGAACTGCTTCGGACGTATATCGAGCTATTTCAAGATAATTATAGGGTCTTGAGACATAGCACCCAAAACTATCCTGCAATCCTGCAGGTCTCAAAAGTGAAGCCGATCCCGATCCCGGAACCCAACGAACTGCTTTAGATGTTTTGTTGTTTCCCTAAACCACCGTTGCCCCGCCGAAGTGATGCAGTGTCCCAGACGCCGGGATATGCATATGCACATATCTGATATATACAATTAAAAGCCAAAAAGAAGAACACACATATTTTTTTCATGGTTCAACACATGACATCAGTGCATTTGGGGGTGGTTTTCTGTCGCATCGGCCACAGCATATGCCCCGCATGCGTCCCGGCCGCCCCTCCGAGGCGCCGCCACTGCCGACCCTGGGCGGCTTGGCGCCGACGCCCTTCGTGCCGCCACCACCGACCTTCGGGACCCCGGTCGGGACCGTTCGCGCGCGTCAACGGCCGCGTGAGGTGAGTTGCGGGGAGACCTGGGGAGTTCCGGAGGAGACCTGGGTGCCCAGAGAGGTGAATAAGTTGAAGGACCCGGTCCACCTGAGGTACCCAACTGGGAGAGTCGAATTTGGGTTCTGAACAGCCTTGGTGCATGTTGAATGGCACCACACCCCGGTCTCCTCGTCGGTCCGCCGGTCCGCCGGTCCTGCAGGGGTTGTGGAAAGGTTGACCCGGACACGCAGAGACCACGCCCCGGCCCTCCTGGTTTTGGGGTGTAAAAGGAGCGAAAGGAGCACCAATGGTTTTTTTTTTTAATATCATGGGTGCAAACTCAGTTGCTTTTAGAAGATGGGTCACCAATTTGGACAACCCTTTTCACTGTTTGATACTGTTTGTAGGTATCTCTATATGTACGTAGGTATGCCTTATGTCACCTGCGGCCAGGTGGCCTTTCCGCAGATCCAGAGCCACCCCGCCCACCCAGCACTGCATCATGCGCCCCACGCGCCGCCTCCCATCCCGGGGCTTCTGGCAGCTTGGTGTGCGGAACGGTTTCTGAGTTGGATTGAAGTCTCAGTTTTCAGTATGGAGCACATACGGCTGTGGCGAGAAGCTATGAAACCATTTAAGGGTGCAGACAATGATAATGGGGGGTTCACGACTAGTGCCATTCCAGGTTGGTCAATACAACTGGAGGCACGCAGAAGCAATTCTATTTTGTTGTAGCTTGTAGAGTGTCTAGCCGTTTCTGGTGAGTTAGTGGGAGCAGGAGATGTCTCAAAGCACTTGGGGTGAAGACATTGACTGGGTTGATTGACCAACTTTGGGGTCTTCACTTACCGAAGATGGTCATGGGAGCAATCAACCATGCCACTTCTGAACAAGAAGATAACTTTTCGTGGTTCAGTTGCCTTGCTTCCCTTGTATCCAAGATGCGCACAAGAAAACACGCCCAGGAAAAAAAAATGCGCTATCAGCGACTTCTTCACCTCTGGGTCACCTCTATATAGATATGATTGGCGCATTTCAAATGCTTGTTAAACCAGGTCTCGACGTCAACATCCAACGATTTTCAAAGACCGGTGGTTCACCGGTCACCAAGACCGGTGAAGGTTGGCAAACCGATCTCAACAAATGCAAAAAAACGAGTGTTTGCCACTGTGTTTGCCTTGTCCGACATGTTGATTCAAGACTGTCAAGTTCATGTCAAGTCATTCATAGTTACATGTCACTCTTCTGGGGAAAACCCACCTCAACCACAGCATCCAGGCTCCTCCTCCACCACCTGGGCCTCCACCCGCCATGCTGGGCCAGCCGCCGGGGCCGCCGCCGGTGGTGCCGCCACCGCCGATCGTCTCGCTGGGCAGCACGGCAGAAATGACATCCTTGGTTAGGTCTGATGAATTGACATGAGTTGATTATATGACTCAAACATATATGCTTATAATATCTATTAATATCTTATAGCAATTCATTATTTTGCTGTCATGTCATAGAATGTCGACTTATGATCTCAGATAGAGAATGTCCATGCGGAGCGTTCGCAGCGGGATTCATAGCGCTAGCTTGCACTCCTTGGACGCAAGGGGAATCACCAGTGGAATCACCTGTGCAAGCGCCCTGATTCAAAGCTGGTAACAGGAGGTAGCAGATGATAGGCAGTGCCAGAAGTAGATCTCCCGAGGCGATGCGGAAGTGAAGGCGGCTGCCTCTGCAGCGCTGTCGAAGTTCATCAAGAACCTCCCAGATGAGCAAAGTGCCTCGCGCCTTGGCAGGAAGGAACAAAGCAGAATTGAACCCACATTCGATGAAATTGAAGATAAAAGACGATGGAGTGAGGGTCCAACTAAACTAACAAGACCCAACAACACAGCAAATCTCCAGTCTTTCCAATCAGACTCTGACAAATCATGAACTGTTCTCACCAACATCTATGGCGTTTAGATTCAATCCCCGCTCATCCTGTGGCGTTGTGCTAGTGCTGAGGAAAGGCAAGAGCAGAAGCCGGAGCCAAAGCCGAAGGAGTCGTAGCAGAAGCCTCTCGGCGGGAGTCTCCGCGGGGTACCGCGCCGGTCGCCGATTTGGGAGTTCCGGAGGCCCGGACCCAAGTGCCATGGCAGCGGATGGCTCTGGGTCATGGCGGGAGACCGACCAGTTGAGCACCCAAAATGAACAGGTCATAGACTACCTGCTGGCGGTCAACCTTTTAGGGTGAAAGGGGCTCTGAGTGCGACCCAGAGCCAGATCAGATCCATTTGACCACGTGTCGAAACGCAAAAAAAGCAAACAAACAACACCGACCTCATGCTGGATCAGACGAGCAGAAGTCTTGGCCCGTACAGCCAAGAACGATCTCGCTAATCATTTCGTGAGCGGCTTGATGGACCTGATGACCTGGTCGTTGATCCATTGTACGGAGGGGTGAAACAGGATTGGTCCGATTCTGTGGAATGGCTTCGATCCAGATGCCTTTTGAGAAGGTGATTGGAGACTAATATAATCTAATATATGTCATGGAGGGCCTAAATACCTTCTGAGAAGGGGGTGTGAAGGTGGCAGATCCGGGACTCAACCAGTCACACCCCAGCGACCGAGGCAGCCGGAAGCGACGCCGCAAGCGCAGCGGCAGCCGCAAGCGCAGCAGCAGCCGGCGGCGGAGAAGAAGCAAGGAAGGCCCTGATTTCCCGATGGATCCAATGGAATCGCTGGTAATCAGTAGTTCCAAAGAGTAAAGCTATAGACTGAACGAATCTGAACCAAACCCTGGTTCCTCATAATTAGTAACTGGGATCAAAATGGATCCACTTAAAGATGGGGTTGTTGTATACGGTGGTCCAAAGATGTTGTCGGGTGAATACGATGATCTTGAATTCATCAAGAAGAAAACCATGGGATTGATATGGATTGATAGTTATGAGAATACGTTAACTATATAATATCACGTTGGGTTTTCATGAAATATAGTTACTATTAGTATTATAATCTATTATATAAGTGTATACCATGAAAATGACCCATCCATGTAGTTAACTATATTCCAGTCCCATGGATGGTCTGGAACAGGAGATCCAGACTTGGTGAATTCTTGGAGACCCCAACAATTCCACCCGTGAATGCACCGCAGATTGACTGTTAGGAAACTGACTCGGGTCTTTGTCCCATGCCTCCCATGCCGGAAGACTTCACGTTCGCAGCTGGTACCAGCTGCAAACTGCTCCGCCACTTGCCGGCCACTCCGGGCAACTTCGGTGCCTCCGGTGGTGAAAAAGCAACAACAACAACAACAACAGCAGATAGTTGGGGCATGTTAGAGCTATTGTAGGCCAGTGTCCGAAGGTCAAGCTTCAAGGCCAAGCTTCTTCGCTGGATTTCTAGTGCACCATTGCATCAGGGCCGCAGTCCTTGTTGCTGAAGAGGTTTTTGTTTGTTTTCTGCGCGTCATGAGGTCGTGAAAGGCGCCACACGGTGTGTGCAACGACTTCGTCCCATTTGGTTGAGAAATCAGTTCCTTCACCACAGGGATCTCTCTTCATTGACTTGGAGCTTTTCAGTGTGTCTGAGTGTGTAATATATCAATATACATAATTGATCATAATTGTTTGTATGATATCTCAGATATGAACCCTCAAACATCTTGAAACTATGGACTGCCTCTAGACTCTAGACGGCACCCACAAAAACAAGCAAGCAAGAACAAACAAACAACAAACTCCGTAGAAGTCCGAAATCTTCGAGTTGGAAAGACTTGCCATCCCGCTCCAAAAAGACTTGCCAAGAGAGACTGGAATCATTTTGTTGGGACCCAAAAATTGGGTGGCGGACACTTCCGCGACGCTTTCACCGCGCAGGGAAGGATGCGAAAGATTCGCTGTTGGAGCCTCCCCCGGCGCCGCGGAGCAAATGGGATGACTCAACCACACCCGCCTGGATGCAGGCGCGGCTCCGATGGTAGGACACTCTGAGGACCACACATGGAAGTGGATGGTAGTGCTTTTTTCGGGTTCAGATTACAGGGGCCATGACCTTCAGTCAGTGACCTCAGGGGACAGGACCTTCAGTCAGTGACCTGGGATCTCAAGCCTCAAGTTCGGTCGATGACTTTGAAGGTTACAGGGGTGCCATCCACTTCCATGGTGAGTTAGAGTGTAGCGGGTTTGGCGGGTTTGTGCGTGCGTAGATAGACAAGGGAGAGAACTACTGATTATCACGAGCCCATTTGGGCTACGGTTGTAGCACGTCGATCCTCCTCGCCTAAATTTCAAGGGTTGCAACTTAGCTACCACCCAGTCACAGGAGAAAAATTGTTTGAACACAGATTTCAATAGAAAACTATCCCCCTCACAAGAGAAGCATGTGTGGAGCTGCTGCCACTACCTTTTCACTTCCATTTTGGACTTGATGTTTCCGTATAAGCAGAGTCATATTTGTTGTATGTGCGCTGCGCCAATGTGGTCCCGCGTCTAGTGCCCCACAACCTCTTTAATTGGGTGCAATGTAGAATGCATCGTTTTGTTTTGCTCCGTCCAGTCTCTCTTTCTTCCTTTCTCCCTCTCTTTGTCCCTCGCCCTTGGACTACTTGCTTAATTTACCGGTTTGACATTAGCTCAATTTGTGTTTTTTTTCTGTTTTAAAGTAATTACAAGAACTATTCAAAACAACAAGTTATACAAGTACTTTGCCAAAATTTGAACGCTGCAAAACAACTTAGACTCCCGTAAGAAAACTGAAATTGCAACATATTGCCCAAATCCACCCGCGATAACAATGTAGAGAGGGCTGAAGGATATTTGCTGATCGCGGAGGGTGACGAGCCTGACGTTTGGTTAGAGACCACTGCCCTTTGGGAAGTCTGAGACGAACGTCTGAGACATGCTTCATGGCGCCCACCACGTCCTCTTCGCTTCCACCGGCCGCCGATGTGCAGAGGACATGGTGGAGGCCCTGAAGTCTTCGGAACCGGCGCCCACGGCCAGCGCCAAGAAGAATGATCCGGACAAGCCCAAAGGCCCGTGTCGTTTGGCAGGATGTGTTGGTTGTTTGATTAATTGAAGAAGAGAGGTTCTCTTTGCTCATGAGCTATGGTCAAAACATGCCAAGACCACTTGTGGTCCAATAGGGGTAGGTTTGTGCACAAAACCCGAACGATATGGTCCACCTCAAACCGATAACCCATATCGCGCTGTATGATCAGTATGTGGCGAACATCGCCAACACTGTGGCGCACGATAAGGTCCAATCCAAAACCGATGACGTCCATTTTTAGTTGAAGAACAAATAAGAAGTTTTGACCGTCCCTCAAATGTTTTTTTGAGGAACAAAGGGCCTCAAGGTTGGGGTGGAAGGACAACAAATTGGAACGATGGGAAGCGCTGATCATTTTGGAGATAACTGGAGTTGTGGTGATTGATCGCAAGCAGACCGTGTGTTTGCCCTAGAGTTGGTAGCTGGTTTGTACGTGCGTTGATCGCTCTTCCAGCTTGTTCGTTACTCCACAGTTTGTTGTATGATTTGTCTGGCTGGCAGGGTAGATGTTTTGGGCTTTGAAGGGTGATGATCATAGCGAGACACTTGAGTAGACCAGTTCAGATAACTGGTTTGGACTGATTCTAAGTTTCTGAAAGTCTTCAAACGGATTTTCCTATCATGATGGAATCACGGGCTGCATGGGCAACAAGTACTCGATGCGTACACACGTGTAATTACACGCGTGCACTTACTCATCAGCTGCCAGGTTCGGATGAAGGATTGAGAGCCATACGATGATGCGTCAAGTTGAGCCACACATAGAGTGGATTGAGAGTAGATGGCACCATCCACAAGGGCAGGTGGTTTGTATGGACCTCCACCTGTCTGAGACATATTGAGGTGCCAGTGCCATGTACTCTGAAGAGATACCTAGAAGCACCTGGGGCAGAAATTTCTGCCTCAGCCCGATTTGCCCGGGAGGATTCGCGGATTTAGGGGAAATCCGCGCCAGGTAGGATTTTCCGCGGGCAGCAGGGAATTTTTGCCTCAAGCAAAATCCAACATAGCAACTCAAAAACCATTACAACCTACCAGGTTGTCTCTTCCATGATTGCAGACCACATATCGTTCTGCATAGCTTCACATCTCAAGATCTGACACCCTACGATTTTGACACTTCTAAATTCATGACATTCACAAAGAGGCTGCGACATATGTTCAAGCCCTTCAAAGGCATCAAAGGCACTGTTCTTGAATCCCGCCTTCTACCAGGAAATTTCCGCCGGAAACCGGGTATTTCCGCCGTTTTCCCGAGTATTTCCGCCTCTTTCCCGGGTATTTCTGCCTTTTTCCCGGGCATTTTCGCGCCAGGTGTTTTCAACTTTGGACTGATTTTAGTCCTTTTGTGATCATTCCGCACAAGAAACCTTCAAAAACAAAGACACATAATATATGATATGATGGTAGCCAGATTTGCAGGTGGAGGTGGAAACTTAAGCGCTGCAAATTGTTTTTTTCTCATTGCGGTGACCGTTCCAGGCAGAAATGCCCAATGTAAACCACAAAAATATTCAACTCCTCTAGAATATGTAGTCTTTGTCTCACTGGATTCCTGAAAGGGAATATTCGCGGCAACAAAAACATTTCCGCGGCAAACAGCTGATTTCCGCCCCAGGACGGGAAGAGCCGCTCTTCCCGAAAAAGGCAAGAATTTCTGCCCAAAGGATCTTCTAGGTATAGGCATCATGAGGAATCAGATAAGTAAGCTCACCTTGAAGAACCTCAGCTAGGATGTCGTGCTATAGATCAGCCTCCCGTGCTGTCAGCTTCCCTAAGAGGCGACCAGATCCCACAAGAAGTGCGGAGCTTCATGCCTTCCGGGCACCCATGCCTTGTGTAGGATGTTGACTCTGTTAACTCTAAAGATTGCCAGGCAAATGAGTCAAAATGGACCAACCAATACCTCCGCAGGTGCTGCCCCACACCCCAGGCCTTCCAGGCTTTCCCTCCCCTTGGCAGGTCACAAGGTCATCGACTTGCCTGCGCATTTGATCAGGGTCCTCATTGGCCACCTGTTCAAACGGGGAGAACAAGTCAGTGGTTGACCACGGGCGAGAACGATCGTTGAAACAGTAAAGTATCAATGAGTTGATGTCATTGGGTGTTTGGCTCTTTTTGGAGGCGCTACCTTCCCTGCAACAAACATGGAAGTGGACAACCCGAACCCCCTGTTTGTGAAGGAGAGGTACATTTGGTACAGATCTCTCTCTTGGGTGTTTTTTGGGAGACTCAGGTGAACAAGACTGTGCATCTCTGACATCCTCTGACTAGAGAAGAGTAACAGAGATACACAGACAAATTTAGAGAGACAAACATACTTTTGTTGTGGAGAAACAACATATATTCTTACCTGGCGCTTCCAATGGGTGTCCAATGGTGACCTATAAGCAGTGTAAGGTTGTCCATTGGTAACCCCTTGGAAGCAGCTGGTATAGAACATGTCATGTAAAGGTGTGCCAAACCAAAACATGAACATGGCGGACACCTCCTCTGGCCCTGCTTCTTCGAGCAAGTGACCTTGGACCTCCTGGTTGATTCGGTCACGAGTCCAGGCCTGTGGGACTTGGTCACGACTGGGGACGAAGCTGAGCTTTGATGTGTGTGTTTTGGTTTAGCCTAGAGGAGAACACCCATCACCACCCTAATTACTGTAAGTGTTGAACGCGGGCATGATTCATCGTTTCGTTCGAGTTGAGTTGAGCTCACAGAGGGTGTTGTCGTAGAGGTGAATTCACGTCGTCGGCTTGTCCAGGTCGTCGGAGGCGCCACGACTCCTTGCCAGATTGTCTTAAGGATGTCGGGCTTTCTTGTGCTTTGAAAGAAGATTCATCAGGTATCATATGAAACTGCAAGGATCAGTTTGTTTTTTCCATTTTTTCACTGGTTGTGCATGACCAGATTGTATTATTTTACTCGTATTCGGAACACCACTTTGTATTTGGAGATTCGATGGAAAAGAGCCGAACGGACGGCGGCCCATACGGGGTGTGGCCTGAACAAGGAACACCTCTAAATTGATATTCGGGACCCCACTTGCATCTATCCCATCCTATCCCTATTGTGACAAGACCCGTCATCTCTCCTTGATCCACCATCCTGCCGGTTCCCTGCCGGTGTCGCCCGGCCACTCCAGGCAAGGCCGGATCCACCATCCGCGAGGTCATCAGCAGGACGAGTGGGGGTGAGGTGCGAGACCCTCTCCGACCATTGGGGAACACCCATGGCCATGTCTCACCCTAAACGGGTGGAGCTTCGTGCCTTCGCAAAACCCGCAGGTTTTAGGGCTCAGGTCGACTGTTTCCAGCAGATCCAGCAGATCCCGATCCGTCAGACCCTGGTTTTTGCCGGTCATAGCACTGGCAGACCCTGGCACTGGGGTCATCCCACCGAACAGTCAGGTGCTCCACCGGGAGAAGCTCCGGGGTTCACCGAGGGGTGCGGGTGTTCGAAGCACAGCCACGCAGCTTCGTGCGTGAAGCACAGCGCACTTCCACCGAGCTCGCCAAGGAGTCGGTGGATCCAATGCGTGCGGATCCAATGCCCTTCAATTCGGAACATTTGTGTCCAAAGGACCTTGGACAAAGCATGAGGACATCTTACACCATGAGTAGTGTGGAAGCAGCGTAAGTACACAAGACGATTTGTTTGGCTGCCAATCTGGAGTCTTGTTGTCCATGTCTTTTTGGTTGTGCACTCCAGAGTGGGGCATTCAGGCACGCATGTGGTAGTTGCCCATGACGCCTTCAGGCACCTGTGGCTGACAATATAACCATGCAGTGATATGACACCTTTGCGTTTGCGTGCACATGGTCTCATGTAAGCAACACATATGTGAGTGTTTGTATTCTTCAGGGGGGGCAGCGCACAGAAGGCAGCAAGACGCGACCAAGAGAGCCGCAATTCCCGTGACATGACTTTACCACTTTGGTTCCAACAATGTCCTGACTGAATGGAACTATAATATGGAATTAGGGGCGCAGAAGGGTCGTGCAAAGACATGTTCTCCACCGAGCTGATATCACCAACCCTCAAATCTCGACTTCGGGATCTTTGCGTCCAGCTGCATCCCAGATCCTGGAAGCAGGTGTCCATACACAGCCCATGAGTCAGGGACCTTGGTTTGTCCATCGATGTGGCATGAGCAGTGGCAAGAGCCGTGGCTCAGAAAGACATGGTGTTGGCCTTTGGAAGGCCTTTTCAAATGGGCTGAGTACCGCGGGCGCCTACCAATTTGGCCAAACCATGGGTGCCAGCACACCGGCTTTCTGTACCATTCGCTGGTCATGTGTCCTTTTTCATACGACGCATTGGCTGTGTCCTGAGATGTCCTGAGGACCACACCTGGAGCTTCTCCCGAAACTGCCAAGACACCACCGACTCACCCTCCCAAACGGCCACTGTGTCGGGCTCCGCAGGACCGGGGCCGACATCAAGGTGAACCACTTGCCACATGAGCCTCAAGGGAGTCGCTTGGTCAGTCGTCATCCCTCCCGTGGGTCGTGGAGGTCCCAAGACCGGCGTCCGAGAAGGTCCGCTGGTCGCGTGCACTGCTTCAGATCGGATCCGCGGGTCCCAGGGGGGTTCTTTCGATGAATGGAAAATGGAGAATGGATCTTCAAGAAGATGTCTACCAAATTGGGTGCAAATGGATAATTCATTGGTTGCTGGGTGCTTCAGTTCGTTGAAGATTTTATCGCGAGGCACCCCGTGAAGAGGTGACTGTTCATATAAGGTTGTTGCTGACACCGGGATTGGGTCTAACGCGGGTCGGGTCTAACGCGGGTCCGCGTTGTTGACTTATAATTCAGAAAGTACCTGGCGCTTCCGGTGTCCTGTCTGGTGACCTATAAGCAGTGTAAGGTTGTCCATTGGTAACCCCGAACGGAAGCAGCTGGTAGGTGTCGGTTTGAAAGAGCTTGAAATGAGTCTGAACGGATGAAGATTGCAAACTGTGGCTGTGGCCGCTTTGAAAGCGACTAATCGCTTGGTCGAACCTCCAGAGTTCGGGTTTTGGGGCAGTGAAGTGTTCCACCGGCTCAACTGCCATTCTGGGGCAGATGTGGATATCTGAATTTTCTGGCATCTTCTTGACAGAATCACGAGAATCTGCGAGTTCCAAGTGTTTGAACGAAAAGCGAGCGAGGCATCTCTGTGGTGGGAGACATCGTTTCTTGGCAGTGATTTCTCAGTGCCTGAAGAGCGCGCCTGGGGTGAGTTTCAAACCTCAAATTGCCATCAATCCTTTAAGTTTTGATGTGACCATCGCCCATCTATTTGCACCCAAGACATGATGAAGACTCCGGGGATTTGCAAAACATCTATGAATTCCATTGAATTCCTCAAGAAAAATCAGAACTCAGTCTCTCCATTGCCAGGTGGTTAGAAGGACGACCAGGTTTTCGGGAGGCCGATTTTTCCTCCTTGCCGTTGTTGGGTTCCTGTTCCACTGTCGAAGGTTCAGGGTGGTGTGACACTGTGTTGGGAGGGCAAACACGTGCGGGTATGGCATGTCGGAGTGCTTTGTTTTCATGTATGGCATGGTGTCTCCTTGATTCTCAAATTTTGTGTATGGCAACTGCAGGTTACTGGTACCTATATTGTGAGAAACTAACAGATTTGCGATGTGAAGACTTGCGGAACGTGGCCCCACAACCTTTCAGACAACCTTTCCGACACGTTGGACCTCTCATGGTCCACTTGGGATCAGTTTGCACTTTTGGGTCCGCAAGCCCGGAGCTGGCAGTGTGAATGTGAAGGATTCTGCAAGACGTGTTTGAAAGAAAATCAGGCGTATACAAGGAGAACAAAGGCTGTAAGACTGTGTGTAAGATGGACCTGGCAGGAGAACACAGCACGTCTTCCAGGATATCCTGTAAGGATAAGGAGCATCGTTTCAAACTTGCAACCAAGATGAACGGACCAACAGGACAAGCGGTCGACTCCCGATCCCGGTGGATCCCCCTCTTTCTGTCCGCTCCATAAAGAAACAACAAACTGCCAGCGCTTCGATCCACATGCCGCTGATTCATCATCCAAAGCGCCCGCGTCTTGCCAAGACGTGTTTGGCTCGCTGTTCTTCCAGCATTCCAAGGCGAAGACTGAAGCGGTGATCCAAGAGATCTTCCGGGCCAGAGGATGTACCTCGGTCAGTGAAAGCTTCCGTTTGGATCGGCTGTACCACCTGTCTCAGGTCAAGGACCTCATTTCACTGGTTCTGGTTATACAATGTTATATGAAAACAATCTAAACACAATACTCAATGGATGGATCTCAATGGGCTTAAAGAGTCTCAGCTTTTACTTGGACTGGACTGGTAGACGGACCAGGCCGCTCCCGGAATCTCCTGGCCCGACGTAAGACCATTCAAATCATGTCAAATCCATCCATCGTTTTCGAGATGAACGCCTCCGTGATATGGGGGCGCCCAACATTAGAATGGTGCAAGATTTGTGAGTTTGGCGCAATTTTGTTTGGCCCTTAAAAAGATTTGGAAGAAGATTCGGGGATCTTAGTTCTATAGTTCTTGAAAAAGTCGGTAAACGAAACTGCCAGCACGTCTGAATACAGGTGGCTCCAGATGAAGCCTCTACACCCTGGAAGACTGACCGTGACCCTGAAAACCACTGGTTGGTAGAGGAAAGCAATCTTCCAGGGAGCTGTTGTCTTCGGGAGGGTGCTACCTCTACCACTTGATGTCGGTGACCACTCAGTGGGCTCAGTGCCGGCGACGCTCTGAGGCAAGTGGTCTCCAACAGGAGCACCCTTAGCGGAGCAGAGCGAGGAGACCACTCAAGGGCTCGGTGTGGTACGACGCGCAGGGCTCGTGTGCGGCGATGTCGGTGAGGTGCTGAAGTAGGATGAAGTAGGAAGGTCACAGTACTCAATACGTGCGGGTCAATATGTGTTTTTTCAGGCGCGATGTGGAGGAAGATCATCTCGTCCCTCATCTGATCATAAATTGATTAACACACTTTTGCCTTCGTGGTGACTCTTAGAAACTGATTCTTTTTTGGGGGGGGGGCATCCCTCACTTGGACCTCCCTCAACACGGAGGTTCCACCCACGCGACAGGAAGACGTGAAGATTCCGCATGACCTCGTAGGGCTCTTTATCGGCAAAGGGGGTGAGACCATCAAGGACTTGCGGGAGAGGCGCAGACGGTGAGACCATCGTCCGGTGTGGCCATGGTGAGAGAGGAGCTGACAATGACCAATGGTTGGGCAGTATTATCATAGACATCCATGCGACATATTATAGTGGCCACTCTTAGCACTGCAGATGCCGGGTTGAGGTTGTTTTTTTTTCTTCAGATTCTGGGATAGTCACTGGGTCACGTGTCTCAGGATCCATCCTTGTAGTGTTAAGCCGAATCCAGAAATATGTCAGAATGATGCAGCAATTTAACATGCAGCCTATTTGTTGAACCTGGCGGTCTCATGATCGGGGAGATGCAATTCTGAACATCTGGGGGGTGACCACTCGACAATGTGGCTACCAAAGGCAAATGTTTGTCAAGCGGACATGTTCATGGACTTTCTAATAGTGGGAGACTTCAGAGCTGTCAATGATCCTATGATGTATAGTTATAGACTATTATTAGGGATGAATATGGTCCTGCGCCAGGTTCTAGATTTAAAGCCAGATTCAGTTTGGACCACAGAGTGAAGCAACTGTTTTACAGTGTGCACATCCCCTTGTGCCTGCTTGACCGCTACAGATCATTCTTTTCGGTTCAAAGGGATCAGGACAGATTCGAGCGTCGTCCAGGCAGCTGTAAGTACTCCACGGCTGCAAACCTGACCGGATTTTGCTCAGGCAAAACTCTACCTAGTATGACCCTGCCTTGTCTCCTAAAATGTCAATGGAAGGATACCAAAGTCCGACAGGCCGCATGGTCTCCCCATCATCATCCGCAGGTGTGGAGGACAAGTCTCGATCACCATTCAACCTGCCTCAACGCCTGGTGGCATGCAGGGTGTCCGTGTACCTTGGACGATTGGCATGAGGGTCGGGGTGGTCGTGGTGGCGCTGCTGATGCTGCAGAGGTGGCTTCTTGTACAATCAGATGAACAAGATGGCTCTGTCCGAACTTACATGTAACAGTTGGAAAAAAGAACACATCACATATAGAGATGTGTGCCTGCAACCAGGTCCCAAAACTACCACTATTGGCAATGGGATGTACCAGGTCTTGACTGTCGTCGACAAAGGGGACCAGTGTGAAACTGCCACCTTTGGGGGCATAAGGACCACCAGGACGACCCCACACTCTTCTCACTCCAAACCACCGGCCCACTCCGGTCTTGCGCGGTCTTGCGCGGATCTTGCGGTCGTTTTGATTCGGATGCCCTGCTGCCCTGCTTCGTGGGACCGTACCTGACACTGAGGGCCCTAAACCCCTCCTCTTCCCGATGCCATCGGCATCGGTTCGGGCGAGAACCGCGCCTGAAGGCGAGCGCTGCGAGAACTCGCTCCGCGGGGGGTGTAGTGGAAACACCGCGACAACCGCGCTGCGAGGTGGTGGGAGACAACTGGAAGGTCGCCAAGGCTTTGGTCCGAGCGAAGATCGAGGAGACCGAGCGAGACACCGCACGAGGTAGTGTTACGCAGAAGCGGTTTTGCAGCGGGGCACGAGTTGAGCGGATTCATCACATGAATTGGCACATCAACCTCAAAAAGAGGTAAAGGGGGACAATGAGATACGGCTGTATCATATCCCCTTTCTGAGGGATGCAATGAAAGACCTTTTGGTTCTGAAGGTGGGAAGTCTGAACTTGAGTTGTTCAGAAGCCCTCAAAGATGGCGGGGCCGGGGCAACCGAACCCTCCAGACAGGTTGGCCGCCTACCGGAGGTTCTGGGGGGTTCTGTGCATTTGGTTCCCTACTCTCGAACATTCAACAGAATTCAATCACTATAGAATCATGTTAATTGGAAAAAAATATCGCATGATTACGCCGCGTTCAATGTGTTGGGCAAATCGATGAGCCTACCAGCTAGTTCCCCACAGTTGCTTGAAGCGTCTAAAAAAGGCAAGGCGCGATCTTCGAGTCCAAGGGCTGTTACTTGCGCGACCGTCGCAAACACGACCGTCGAGACGTGGACACGGTGTCGAGACGCTTCAGGAGCTGACTATGGCGAAGTCCTTCAAAGCTCGAAATGCCAGCTAAAAAAAGCGAGACGCGAGACGTGTCTGAGGAGGACGGAGGATCCATCCTGTTTGAAATCCTCACGATTCTAAGTCGTGGAGCCTTCAAGACCGGATGCCCAAGTCTCTGCTCACAGCATCTAAAGGTGAAAAGATCGGGACTCAACGAATGGTCACGGCTGAGAGGGATGGATTCAAGGCGAAGTCCGAGAGTCTTCAGGCTTCAGGCACGAGATCCCTACCAGCACCCGACTCTACAGGTCACCAATTGAGACCATTAAGGATCTAACAAAGTAGCTTCTTGTTCCCAGTAGTAAGGCCAGCAGCTACTAGTAGCGACCTTGCTCCTAGTAGCGATGCCCTTTGTTCCTAGCAGCGATGTTGTCATTTTCAACCCTCTTTCCAGGATACCTGCAGAGTCGGGTGCTCATAGACCGGTTTGTATGCCCCCGAACTGCGGAGGCATGACATGTCGACATGGCATGCCCGAACTGCGTCAGAGTTCTTTGTGTTGAAATCCTCGTTTCTTCGGGTCCTCGCTACATGAAATCATGGAAGGGCATCACCACCTTTTTGGTATTAAACATGGTTTGCCAGGGCCTTCCAGGGGTCTATGGAAATCCACTTCCATGTAAGATCTCTCTCCCTTTGCTTCTCTCTCCCTCACCGACTCCCTCACCGACCCGGCAAGTGGCCAACTTCACCTCCGTCAGGAGGGGTGAAGTTGGCAGAGTTCCAATCAAGTTGGCTGCTGTTGTTTGTTTAAATATAATGAAATATATACTGTGTGTGTGTGTCGCACTTGAGATGCCATTGTGGTGTTGCATGTTGCATCCGCTTGCTTTAGTCTCTCCTCAAGCTGCAGAGGGTCAGCAAAGGGAATTGTTGGAGTTTGGCCCAGACTTCAACTGTTCCGACATCAGAATGACACTGGAACATATAAGACTACTATTAAGTACACAATCACAAACAGTACCTGCCAAAGAGTAGCATTCAAATGTGTTAGTGGAACCAACCTCAATACAATCCTTACAAGAACTTGCAGTTTGACTCAAATATCCATTTTAGTCCAACCCGATGGCCTTCTTTTTTCATGAAGCGACCTTCTTTGCCTCTCACATGTCATCATGAAATGGACCCAGGACGGGACGTGACTGAGGATTGAACCACCCAATCACTCAAGGTCTCGTGGTTTTGGCCCACTGTGATGATCCATTGTCCCGATAGCCCGAACACATCACAGAAAACGGGTTTTGCTACCGAAAAGGACGTCCTGCCCAAGAGGTCGTCGACTTATGACTCTTCCTGTCACTCGGAATCCCCTGAAAACGGCTCAAACAAGTGAGCTGATCCACCAATTCTACGGCCGATCTGGTTTATGGAAGGATGAAGCCGATCGCTCCGGAGGATCCTTCTTGCTGGTGCCGACATGTTCGAAAATTTTGGCCTTAAAGGCCGAAGTTGCTCAGCAGAGCAGTCTTTGGATGAAGAAGGAAGAATTCCAACGTTTGGCCAATTCCATCATATTCCATCCAATTCCGGTGGCTCCCATGTTGTTGCCCGCAATTATAAGGTCCACTGGAATCATGCGCGACGAACGCGAGGGGACACGGTGGGTTTGGTCCACTGGATCGAGGACCTACCGACCTGCCCAAATCGGAACGCGCACACCACCGTGAACAACCATCCCCAGGGCATCAAACATGGCGACTACTTTTGGAAAAAAAGACAACCGTCACAGCTGAATACAGCTGAGTTGAAGAATTGTTGTCCACCTGACAGGAGTGGTTGAACAAAAAAGGCCATCTCAAAGACCTTGTCTCTTCCGAAGCATGGCGAAGATCAAGTCAGAAAAATCAATCCGACCTGAAGAGCTTTTCACAGAGACCGCTTTTCACCGGCCCAAGCTTGCGTCACCAGGAGCTCTATGGCGGGAAGAGACGCCAAAGTGGCCCGGGCCTGTTTTGATCAGAACAGGTGACCCTGACCGCCCCAAAAAACACACTTAACACATGCCCCCACAAGACTAATGTTAGTGAATGCCACCAGTGAAAAGACTCTTTGAGCGTGGCGCGCAAACTCTATGTAATCATAGCCTTATTGCAATGGATGTTCTCCTTTTTCCGACTTCCTCACTGGCTCAATGCACCAGGACTGTGTCCAGATCATGTGAGCAGGAGATGTGCTACCTCAATCCATCGCTAGAAGTCCAGTTCGATTATATTTGGCACCACCAAAGTGAAGGAAGTTCCTGAACGTGGTGTCCTTTGAAGAGCATTTTTAACACAGTCTTGGACTCCTGCAACTCGGACGGCTTGTTGCGAGGTAGCATGGGCAGCCGACCCAACAGTCCAGTCACTGGCGTCACTGGCGTCAAGGCGGGACAGAGAGCATCAATCCAAGACACTCCATGATACTCCATGTATATGACATTTTTAAATACGGTATATAATATATACATTGCATTGGGGTGACCGGGTGACAATGTATAGACAATATATTCCAATCCCATGGAGTGTGGGAATTGTTCTTCAGTCGTTCTTCTCCATTTGATGCGTGCTTCTTAGGATCAGTGCAGGGGAGTGACACAGGTGAGACACAAGTGAGACACAAGTGAGACACAAGTGACACATCATGAGCATTTCTGCACACACATGCACAAACTATTAACAAGACTTTGTAGATGGGCCGCAGCACCTGAAAGCTGGAGATGAAGCATGCTGAAACCACCATCCGATTGCTGGAGAGGAAGAGGGGCAGACCTCGAGACCGGACATGCAGACCTCACAAACACTATGGCTGAGCTGGGTTAGCTATAGGGTGGGGGTACACGGTACACTACTTGAAGGCACTTCGGAGCCCATCTTTTAGAGCCCTATATCCCTACATGAAGCCCAACATGAAGCCCAACATGTTCACAAAAGACCCGACCCGTTGGATCCCAATTCGGCCGGGTCGCCCCCTCAGACCGGACCGAGCGGACCCGATCCTTCGGGCCAGGGCGAAGGGGACCCTTTGGCGCGGCTGTTTGCCTCCAGGCCTTGTGGAATTTCAATGGTCAAAGAGGGTCCATTGAGGTGAATAGTGAACAATTCACCTTACTGGACCAGTTACCTCAGGCCTTGTGAATTGTGAATTGGTGAATTCTTCATGTGCAGTTGTTTTACCATGCTGGACCCTCGAGGTTGGCAAAGGCTTTACAAAAAGACATCTGAGGTTGCAAATTCACATCAAATGCATGTAAGATATGTAAGCTGTAGAGCTTTTGCAACCAACCAACCACGAACCAACCACTTTTGCACCGCCCAGGCCTTTGCCATCGCTGGTGGCATCCGACTCGACCGAACAGCACGGTGCCGTGGCCCGGCGGCCGCCCATGCTGCTCTTGGCCACGGCGGCCGCGGCCTTTCGAAAGCCTCCGGTGAAGGCTAGGTGGGTGGGGGTGACAGTGAAATCATGGTCTCTTGGAAGTCCAAATACTAAACCCTAGGGATCCAGCCAGGTATATCAAATCCGTGCCACTTAAGTGACATCCCCTAGGGATCTAATATGTCGGTTGGTGAACTCAACTCCAGGTAACCATGATCATTCAGGGAGTGCAATAGCTCGATCAGTGTGATGTGTCTAGCTGATCTCCACTGGAGCGTTTTGTGCATCACCCAGACATACCCAGACTTCTTCTTTGCTTTTTTTCCAGATCGAGCAGCTTGAGGAAAGAAAGAACTCACCACAAGCTTACATCATTTACAGTACAATTCACCAGGTTCGATTAAACTCATGTTGTCATGTTTAGGATCCAGATCATTGTATTTCCTCACGACACACACACACACAAACACTTCTACATCTGCTGATACGCACACCTACCCAAAAGACGTGGATCACCCGCCCAAAAAGCATGGGGGACTCATGAGACCGTCCAACTGTTCGGTGACCGAAGTTCACGGTGAAACA